ATTATTATTAATTTTTCATGTCATATACTGAATGATGTCTCCCTTCATCCATGTTTTTGTTGTCTGTACCTCAGAGAGGGGGTTATGTGTAGATCCTTGTGATCGGTTCCCCCCTTTTTGCCCCCACCTTCCCCTTCCCCTCCTTGTATCACCACTCTCATTATTGGTGCTGAAGGGTTTATCTGTCCTGGGTTCCCTGCATTTCCAGCTCTTAGCTGTATCTGTGTACATGCTCTTCTAGTCAGATTTGTAAGGTAGAATTGGGGTCATGATAGTGGGGGGAGGAAGCATTAAAGTCTAGAGGAAATTTGTATGTTTCATCGGTGCTAAACTGCACCCTGACTGGCTCATCTCCTACCCACAGCCTTTCTGTAAGGGGATGTCCAATTGTCTGTAGATGGGCTTTGGATCTCCACTCCACAATCCCCCTCATTCACGTTAATATAATTTTTTGTTCTGGGTCTTTGATGCCTGATACCTGTTCCCACGAACACCTCATAGCCACACAGGCTGGAATGCTTCTTCCATGTGGACTTTGTTGCTTCTCAGCTAGATGACCATTTGTTAATTTTCAAGCCTTTAAGACCCCAGACACTATAGATTTTGATAGCCAGGCACCATCAGCTTTCTTCACCACATTTGCTATGCACCCATTTCTCTTCAGCAATAGTGTTGGGAAGGTGAGCATCACTAAATGCCATGTTATTAGAACAAAGTGTTCTTGCATTGAGGGAGTACTCGAGTAGAAGTCCAATGTTCATCTGCTACCTTAACATTTTACAGATAAATATATATACATAGTTATCTTTCCCTATCGTTATATGTATATATATTTACATATGTACATGCCTGTATTTAGACCTCTATAAATGTCTATTTGCCTCCTAGCTATTTTATCTATTTCCTTTTTACTTTCCTCTTGGCTCACTCTCATGTGGGGCCTTCATTCAGATTTCAGTAATTCCTCTTGGGTACATTGCCCTTGATCAAGCCCTACCAGGCATCCTACACCCTCCTCACCATCAATTTTAGACCACTTGGGTTAACAAACCTTTTTCCTGGGTTTGTTCACACCCACTTCCTTTCCCCCACTTCCTTCTCTCCTGTGTCCGCCACAACAACCCCCAGGAAACCATTGCTCCTGTTGTTTTCTCTCCTCCGGATTGTTTATCCCACCTATCTTATCAAGCTAGACATACAGAGATAATAATAAGCAATAAATAAGACAGTGCAAAACCAAACAACAAAAGAAAACAAAAAAGCAAAACAACAACAAAACGGAAAGATTATAAATAGTCCCAGATCTGTTTGCTGACCTTTAGTAATGTTTCCTAGTCCAGTCTGATGGGGTGCCATGCTCTGGCCCCAAAATCTATTTTTGGTATTACCGGGGGACTTCATTACTTTGCTCCCCTTGCTGCTTTATTGCATGCCCTTAGCATTTTGCTTTGGTGGGGTGGGGTCAGATCCCGCACAATTGCCACACTGTGCCTCCAGTGTTGTCCCTTGTAGCTCAATGGGTCAGTGAGGGATATCAGAACTCACAGAAATTAACTGACTTCCAAAACAAGATGAATAAACTGTACAAAGCTCTCATTAGATTTTGTGCTATATATTGCTGCATCTCTAGACATATAATCAAAATGATATTACAAAATTAGGATATTTTATACAAGTTAAATATAATTAATCAGTCTACATTAGAATATTTTTGTCTTCCTGATGATTATTTTGTGTATGTATAAGAAAAGGAAAAATAAAGAAGTAAACCTGTTTAAAAATTTTAAATTTCATGGCTGTGGCATGGTTTTTGTGGACAACAGGGAAATTGTCTGACTACATTATTTCCAATTGTCATTGTACATTGAATATGTATGTTACAGTACAAATTGTTTTCTAGTTTCTATCTTCAGTATCCCATATTTCACTCATTACTTAATAATTTTAGAGGGAAAATATCTGTTTTGACAAACATATGCATTAGTAAGAAAATTTAATGTTCTTTAAAATATAAATTAAAATTTCTTTATGGCCAATATTATGCAAATTATATGTAATAGAAGACAATAATTATGATTTGGGGAAATATATATTCTGAAATCCTTTTAATCTTCTTTAGGTAACATGACATATATAGATGAGGATAATAGGAAAGTTGCTTGAAATGTAAAGGCATGACATCTTTAAATTGAATATTACTTGCTCCTAATGTAATACAGGAATTACTGGGTAGTTTAACAAGTTTACAAACCCACCTGATAACCAGAAAATTAGCAGTTTGAGTCTACCCAGAGGTACCTGGGAAGGAATGCCTGATAATTTATTCTTTAAAAA